GTATCATAGTACTGAGACTGCTCTCATTAGAGTTACAAATGACCTGCTCTTATAGTCTGATTGTGGTTGTATCTCTCTATTAGTGCTACTGGATCTTAGTGCTGCACTTGACACTATTGACCACAACATTCTCTTGCATAGACTAGAAAACTTTGTTGGCATTAATGGAAGTGCATTAGCATGGTTCAAATCATACTTATATGACCGCCATCAATTTGTAGCAGGGAATGAAGAGGTATCATATCGATCACAAGTGCAGTATGGAGTACCTCATGGCTCAGCACTAGGGCCGTTACTCTTCACGCTATACATGTTACCTTTGGGAGATATCATCAGGAAACACGGTGTTAGCTTTCACTGTTATGCTGATGATACTCAGCTCTATATTTCTTCGCAGCCCAGCGAAACATACCAATTTGAAAAACTTGCGGAATGCATAGTCGATATAAAAAACTGGATGATGAGTAATTTCTTACTGCTAAATTCTGAAAAAACAGAGATGTTAATTATAGGACCTAAAAACTCTGCATATAATAACCTAGAACACTCTCTAAGACTCAATGACTGCTCTGTCAATTCTTCGTCATCAGTTAGGAACCTAGGTGTGCTATTTGATAGTAATCTTTCCTTAGAAAGTCACGTTTCTAGCATTTGTAAAACTATATTTTTCCATCTCAAAAATATATCTAAATTACGACCTACTCTCTCAATGTCAAATGTAGAAATGTTAATCCATGCGTTTATGACCTCAAGGTTAGATTATTGTAATGCTTTATTGGGTGGTTGTTCTGCACGCTTAATAAACAAACTCCAGCTGGTCCAAAATGCAGCAGCTAGAGTTGTTACTAGAACCAGGAAGTATGACCATATTAGCCGGGATCTGTCAACACTGCACTGACTCCCTATTAAACATCCTATAGATTTTAAAATCTTGCTTATTACTTATAAAGCCGTGAATGGTTTAGCACCTCAGTATTTGAACAACCTCTTGTTACATTATAGTCATCCACGTTTGCTGCGTTCTCAAAACTCTGCCCATTTAATAATACCTAGAATATCAAAATCAACTGCGGGCGGCAGATCCTTTTCCTATTTAGCGCCCAAACTCTGGAATAACCTACCTAACATTGTTCGGGAGGCAGACACACTCTGTCAGTTTAAATCTAGATTAAAGACCCATCTCTTTAACCTGGCTTACACATAACACACTAATACGCTTCTAATATTCAAATCCATTAAAGGATTTTTAGACTACATTAATTAGGTCAACCGGAACCGGGAACACTTCTCATAACACCTGATGTACTTGCTACATCGTTAGAAGAATGGCATCGATGCTAATATTAGTCTGTTTCTCTCTTATTCCGAGGTCACCGGGAGAGTAGACTACAATGCCGGCTGTTCTGACTCACAGACTGTAAGTACGTTTTTTATATTTAAAGGATTTGCCACTGACGATTCAAACGTGAGTTTTGAGCTGTGTAGAGCAGCACTTGTTATTCGTCATTTCTCCGATCACAAATGCAGACATGGTTTTATGTTTGCGCGATGCAACGCAACGCGTAAAAAGACAGTATAAGTCATTATAATCAGTAATTATGTCCCCACTGGATGCAACAAATGCCTCGTTTATAATGGGTTTTAATGTTTTTATCTTTTCGCTGGTGAGGGGTGTAACATTTCTGTCACACGCTTGAGGCCAATCACAACGCACTGGATAGCTGGCCAATCAGAGCACACCTCGCTTTTCAGACCGATGAGCTTTGTAAAAATCGACGCGTTTCAGAAAGGCGGGGCATAGAGGAGAAACAATAATGTACAGTATGTGGAAAATAATGTATTTTTTTAACCTTAAACCGCATAAACACATTTCATTACACCAAATACACAAAATAATGTTATTTTTAGCAAATAACAGAGAAATGTTAAATGAGAACATTGGACTTGCCCTAATATAAAGTCCGGGCATTTGCTTACAGGTTTGCTTACATTTCATTTTCCTGAAGTAAGCCAGATCTGTTTATCCTTGTTTTTGTTCCAGCCAATATTCAGACAAATTATGGAAAGCTAAAATGTCGATGATCTGCATGTTAACAGAATCAGCTCAAATGCTGCTCATTGCCAGTAAAAGCATGTGCTCTTTGATTGGAACAGCTTTGATTGATGAGTTCTCAATATTAATATTTAATAGAAACTGTAAGCATAAATCAACACTGAACTTGAGTTCATGATACAAGAGCAATGAGGTCACATGACTCTCAGTGTCCCTGGTCATGTTCTTCCATTTCCATCTGATGAAACAATAACATCAAAAATATAGCCACAAGCAGCAATCATCTGGATCTGATCGCAAATAAATGCATCTACTTTCGGAAGGCCAAATAAAGTGCTTTTGCTTTCGCCTAGAAACACACAGCGTCTCCCTGACATGCTGCTTCAACACTAACTGCGGTTACTGAAACCACGCCTTCTTTCTTTGCGTGCACATTTGGGCGCATTATGCTAATATTTCCACATAGTGAGGTAGATATGTGGGGGCGTGTTGGAACGAGCCGTTTTAGGGGGGCGTGGCAGAGTCTTAACTTTGATAGTTGGTTTTGAGACTTTAGTCTTTGCAACTTCAGGGATCTTATCTATTCATGAACAGCTTGTAACACTCCAAAGAGAAAGGAAAACTTGAAATCGCATCATATGACCCCTTTAAAATTTGGTTGCTTGTATAAATACGAACAAATGATAAACTTATACTCTATTATGGCTAAATTTTGCAATTAATCCGCGGATCACATGCATGCCGAACCGTGGGGCTTGGTCCGTACGGATCACAGATCAACCACTAAGTGTAGTACCATAACATTCTCAACTTTATTAAGGAAGATGGGCCATATTTATACAACACAGATTCATACAATTACATAAAAGATGTCCTCAGCCTCCAATCAAAGTAGTCAGAGGTCAAAAAATACCCTGTATGGATATTAAGAAATATAACAACAATTAAAGGGATAGTTCACCCAAAAATGAAAATGTAATGTTTATCTGCTTACCCCCAGGGCATCCAAGATGTAGGTGACTTTGTTTCTTCAGTAGAACACAAACGGAGATTTTTAACTCAAACCGTTGCAGTCTGTCAGTCTTATAATGGAGGTGAATGGGAATCACGGCTTTGAGAGTAAAAAAAAACATACAAACAAAACCAAATGAAACCCTGTGGCTCATGACGATACATTGATGTGTAAAGACACGAAACGATCGGTCTGTGCAAGAAACTGAACAGTATTTATATCGTTTTTTACCTCTGATTTTCACCGCAATGTCTGAACTGTCCTGAGCGCGTCCTCGACAACCGGCACGTGACACGTCTTCTTCTTCTTCTTCTTGCTTTACGGCGGATCGCAGACTTATAAGTGCATTACCGCCACCTATCTCTCAAATGGACCATTGACACTCTATCTACAATCTCAATTAGGAGTGTCAATGGTCCATTTTGAGAGATAGGTGGCGGTAATGCACTTATAAAATCAGAGGTAAAAAACGATATAAATATTGTTCAGTTTCTTGCACAGACCGATCGTTTCGTGTCTTTACACATCAATGTATCGTCATGAGCCGCAGGGTTTAATTTGGTTTTGTTTGTATGTTTTTTTTTACTCTCAAAGCCGTGATTCCCATTCACTTCCATTATAAGACTGACAGATTGCAACAGTTTGAGTTAAAAATCTCCGTTTGCGTTCTACTGAAGAAACAAAATCACCTACATCTTGGATGCCCTGGGGGTAAGCAGATAAACATCAAATATTCATTTTTGGGTGAACTATCCCTTTAAGATGCATGTACGGGCACATACACTTTCTTGCCAAAAGTATTGGGACACACCCTTCTAATGAGCAGGTTTGACTACTTTAGTAATATTGCAGAGTGCAAATCTTAATGTAAAAGCATATAATGATATTGTAGGGAATTGTGTGCTTCTAATTTTATAGCAACCGTTTGGACAGGACCCTTTTCTATTCTAGCATGACAATGCCTCTTTGTATAAGGCAAGATTCAAAAAGAAATGATTGATTGAGTCAGTGTGGAAGAACTTGACTGGTCTGGCTGTTGTATGACATGGTTAATGTGAGCTCATAACAGTATGCTGATCAATTATTATGGTCCATCTCATCTTCTTGCTGTTCTTGTTGTCGTCCTCTAACACCTGAAAGAAAAGCCAAACTCAGATAAGCCAGCACTAACATCACGGAGATCTTCCAAACAGCACTGCAAGTGTTTGATTGCGTTCACATCACCTTAAACGCAGCAGTACATGCGCACGTCATTGAGAGCGGTGTCATCTCCAATGCCCTGCGGCTCTTCTATCCGTGTCTTGATACCACAAATCCCTTTTCCATAACATGTTTGACTCCAGGCGCTCCAATCGCCCCAGTGTGTGCCGTCACCCTGCAGTAAAGACCCTCCACTGCATGTGAACCTGGGAGAAGTTTGGGTGTGACAACATTATGATAAAATATGTTGTTTCAATCAATACTAACAAAACAAGGCAAAACTCTTGGAACTTGCAAGGCCTGTAGCACAAAACTGGTTCAATGGCTACTCAGCTAAGTTTGAGTTTATTTCGAGCAAACTTCAGTGAATATTGTCCAAATTATCCACAAATACGTTTTTTTTTTTTACTCTAAAACTGAGGTGCATAAACACAGATCAATGAGGCCTACAATCAGTCAGTTCATGTGTGCTTATAACAGTATGCTGATCAATTATTATGGTCCATCTCATCTTCTTGCTGTTCTTGTCGTCGTCCTCTAACACCTGAAAGAAAAGCCAAACTCAGATAAGCCAGCACTAACATCACGGAGATCTTCCAAACAGCACTGCAAGTGTTTGATTGCGTTCACATCACCTTAAACGCAGCAGTACATGTGCATGTCATTGAGAGCGGTGTCATCTCCAATGCCCTACAGCTCTTCTATCCGTGTCTTGATACCACAAATCCCTTTTCCGTAACATGTTTGACTCCAGGCGCCCCAAACGCCCCAGTGTGTGCCGTCACCCTGCAGTAAAGACCCTTGACTGCATGAGAACCTGGGAGAAGTTTGGGTGTGACAACATTATGATAAAATATGTTGTTTCAATCAATACTAACAAAACAAGGCAAAACTCTTGGAACTTGCAAGGCCTGTAGCACAAAACTGGTTCAATGGCTACTCAGCTAAGTTTGAGTTTATTTCGAGCAAACTTCAGTGAATATTGTCCAAATTATCCACAAATAAGTTTTTTTTTTTCTCTAAAACTGAGGTGCATAAACACAGATCAATGAGGCCTACAATCAGTCAGTTCTAAAAAGAAATACAAAATCTGAAAGAAAACAAATTGACAAAAAGATTTAATCTGAGATTTGGTGATAATAATGGGTGATTTACAAGCAATTTTTAAAAGACTGGTCATTTTAGAGCACCAGATTAAGTTAAAGGATTTTTAGCACAGCACAAAAGCACAAACTCACCTGATGTTGTTTGCGGCCGTATCGTCACCAAGTCCTTTAGGGCTTTCGACTCTCAGCTGAAAAGCAGTCAAGAATCCAGAAGGACACCATTTGATATCAGTCCACCGACCCCAGCTGAAGAAAAAACTAAGTTTTATTGATCAAACCAATCATTATTTTCAAGAAAATTAATTTGTCTAGCTTATGAAGAAACTAACTCTTAACGTAACAATTCTTAATAACTGCAAACCTGCTACATTATTACTCTTTAGACTCTTTAGCCCATTACCTGCCTACATCTGAATGAACTGAGGCGTAGCTGTGATACGAGTTTGAGGAGCCTTTACTATTCTTTTTAACGCAGTGAAGGCGAATCCCATTGAGTGCAGTATCATCCCTATAACCAATATGATCTTCCACCTTAAAAACAAAACAAAACAACAACACTTAGACAAATTTGAAAGAGAAAAGGATTAATCTTAACTCCAACCTCCAGTGTTCCTGGAGGTGCACCAACATCACACATTTTGAATGCCTCCCTTATCTGACCTATCCATTTTAGATATTGGAGTCTCTACTAAAGAGCTGATTAGTTTAATCAAGTTTGTTCAAAAATGTTTGTTGGTGTATCTTCAGGAACAGAGCTGGGAATCCCTGGACTAACCCAATCCATAGTAACATTCAACTTCATGTTTCTTTAGTATTAAGCAAAGCAGTCAAAAACTTGAGCAGGTGCAGTTTCCTTAGAAACACCTAGAATTGAATCACTAACAGCAACTCCAGGGTTTATTTTTTCTAAGGATTTGAACCTTCAACCCTCAGTCATCAGCTTACACTTTAAACCACCCCCATACTACTGTTATAAAGTAAATCCTCAGCTTACCTTTAGACTGAACCCTGCGGCGTACGTTCCAGTTGGACACATTTCTCTGTGACCCCACGACCCCCATCTCCCTCCATTCGGCACGGTCAGCTCTGATTTATAATGTCTGCTAAAGCTTCGCTCAGAACGTGTTCCTGCAGACTCAACACTCACCTGCAGTCCAGTAATGACTAGCAGTGAAAACATCATGCAAATGAAGTGATGCATTGCTGCAGCACTGGCCTGATGGATTAAAATACGGATGAAATTAATTAATTGATCAAGCAGACATAGAGAGCTAGTGCACTACAATAAAATTCTCAACTTTATTAAGGAAGATGGGTCATATTTATACAACACTGATTCATGCAACAACATACAGGATGCCCTTGGCATCCAATCAAAGTAATCAGAGGTCAAAAAATACCCTATATGGATATTAAGAAATATAACAACAATTAAGATGCATGTATGAACATATGAGTGTGTGTGTGTGTGTGTGTGTATGTTCTGTGTGTGTGTGTGTGTGTGTGTGTTCCTGGTGTGTGTGTGTGTTCTGGGTGTGTGTGCTTGGTTGCCGTTATCATATGGGTGCACCAGTGTGTCCGAGGTCTAGTTCTCGTTTTGTCTAGGTGTGACTATGATGTGCACATAATGAAAGGAAGTTACACAAGGGCAGTCAAAAGTGAAGCTTAAGAAATAAGAAAAACTATATAAGAAATTTAGAATTAGAATAAGAAATAAGAAAATTGACGTGATCATATGATGCTTGCATGAAGAAATAAATATTTGCAGAGCAAACTCAGATCAGTTAACTAAAGAATTAGTTTATTACATTATTAGTACGTTATTGGGTTTCACTTTATTTTGATGGTCCCTTTAACACATTCTGTTGACTATAAGTAACGTTGCACCTACATATCTACTAAGTCTCACTAGAGTGTTAGTGGAGTATTAGTGGACTGGTAGGGTTAGGGTTAGATTAAGTTGACGTACTTGCAAAGTTACTTGTAGTCAGTAGAATGTCAGTTGGGAGACCATCACAATAAAGAGTTAGCAGATATTAAGCACACAGTCTACTAATACTCTAATGAGAGTTAGTTGACATGCAATGTTACTTATTGTCAACAGAATGTTCAAAAGGGACCATCAAAATAAAGTGTTACCCATTATTGTTCCAGGCAGTGATCAAGACTACAATGCAAAACTTAATGACTAAATGAACTTGAATATTAAAATAAATGGCCTGCATGTAAACACACTTTAGACAAACACTGACTGATCAGATCAAATGCTGCTCGCTGAAACAGCTTTGCTTGATAGTGTATTTACATTTTTTAATGTTTCATGAGGTTTCAAAGAAAATAGATACTGTAAAACAGAAATAATACCTATAAGCAAAAATAAAACAATATTTTAATATTTAAAAGAACCTTTCTGCACTATAAAGAAACTTTTATGCAATGGAAATATTTCATGGATGTTAATGGTTCATTATGGAACCATTAATGCCAACAAAGAACCTGTATTTGTAAGCCTGTAGTATATAAATCAGGGCTTCAGACAAAAAAATCAACTAAGAAACAAAATGAGGTGCAAAATTATTACGGGACGATTACATATTATATGGGACGGCTGGCAACCCTATCTCAGGCAGCACTCAGCTAGGGCTGCTGTGAGTGCAGGCAGTCTAGAGACAGCATTTCAACCCCAGTGGCACACATCAAGTCTGTTTTAGTAACTGGCAATTTTATAGGTGTTGAAATTCCTTTAGCTCCTTGCATTCTTTCTTATCATAGACAACAGATTGAGAAAAAATATTTAAATATTTAATATTTATAAATTAGCAAAATGATAATCTTCATAGTCATTTTTTAGCTGAATGGACGCTGAGAGGTTATTCTGAGGTAAATGTTTTGTTACATGGCACTGTTTAAGCTTTACACGTTTTCCGCAGTTTGAAACACTGAATAAGCGATTACATGAGACATTTCAGTAAGTTGTACTAGGCTATCTTATAAAATAGCCTACCTTTTGATGTTCATTCATGTTCATTTCATACTATAGTAGTAACGAGAAGGATATGAGTTAGTGTTCCTGTAGAGTTCACTGTTCATTTCCAAAAAAAGCATTAATGGATAAGACTTTGAATGCATTGTAGGTCACTTTACACTCTTAAAAATAAAGGTGCTTCAAAAGGTTCTTCAAGCGATGCCATTGAAGAACCATTTTTGGTTCCACAAAGAAGCATTCAGTCAAAGGTTCCAAAAACCTTCTTTTGCCACAAAGAAGCTTTTGTGAAACAGAAAGGTTCTTCAGATGTTAAAAGTTCTTTATGGAACCATTTAGACAAAAAGGTTCTTCTATGGCATCGTGAAGCACCTTTATTTTTAAGAGTGTAGGTCGAACCGTCTGCCACATGCACTAATGCAATCATACATCTGATGTATAATGTTGTGATAAAGGATGTGAGACTACAAGTTGCTTCTCAGATAGACACTTTAATGCTGATATTTGGCACAAAAATAAAATAACAAGTGAGATGATTCAGTCAACCTGGGCTTTTTTGCAGGGTTTTGATCATCCTGTTAGTATTTTATTTTGTGATAATGATCAGCTGAATATGCATTTTCACTTACATGAACTGTGTCATACCAGAGTTTTGTTAGCTCATCATTGCATTCGATCAATTATTACAATCCATCTGATCTTTTAGCTCTTCTTGCTGTCGTCCGCTTACACCTGAAAGAAAAACCAAACTCAGTCGCTCTGCAGTATGTGGCAATCCGAGTGTTTGATTGCGATCGCATCACCTTAATCGCAGCATAACATGCTTGCGTCATTGAGAGCGGTGTCATCTCTCATTCCCTGTGGCTCTTCTACCTGTGTCATGATGCCACAAATCGCTTTTCCTTCACATGTTGAACTCATATAGCCCCACTCACCCCAGGCTGTGCCGTCACCCTCCAGCAAAGACCCTCGACTGCATCTGAATCTGAAAAAAAAGGTTTAAAAGAAGAAAAAAAACATTGTTTGAAAATGCAGACAGAATCTCGTAATCCGGTTATTAAAACAGATTTTATTGTATAACATGGAATGTCATGGAACGTGGCACGTTTTAAAAATGTACGTCTGCATATCTTAAAGTGAATGATGGCCACATACACTCTTAAAAATAAAGGTGCTTCACGATGCCACAGAAGAACCTTTTTGTCTAAATGGTTCCATAAAGAAGCTTTAACATCTGAAGAACCTTTCTGTTTCACAAAAGCTTCTTTGTGGCGAAAGAAGGTTCTTCAGATTATAAAAAGGTAAGAAAGAGATGGTTCTTTAAAGAACCTTTGACTGAATGCTTCTTTGTGGAACCAAAAATGGTTCTTCTATGGCATCGCTGTGAAGAACCTTTTGAAGCACCTTTATTTTTAAGAGTGTACTCACCTGATGTTGTTTGCGGCTGTGTCGTCTTCAATTCCTTGAGAAGATTCGACTCTCAGCTGAAATGCTGTCAAGAATCCAGAAGGGCACCATTTGATTTCTGTCCACTGACCCCAGCTGAAGAAAAAACACGAGTTTACTACCAAAAATTGAAAAAGGAAATTGATTTGTCTACTGTAGCTTATGAAGACACTGCTTCTAATTAGGGATGCTCCGATTGATCTGCCGGAGATCGGTATAGGCCGATAATCACATTTTATGACTCGATCGTTACTCATTAACGAACCAATCACAATTTGACACACACACACACACTCACACACACACACACAAACAAACAAACAAACAAAAACAAATGAAATCGTCTGCCTCATGAAATTTTTTTTTTTTTAAATGTAGTTAATATTTGCATCATTTATGATTTTTTTTACCCACACGCAAATAATTAGAATGCATTTTTTTTATTACCCGACCCGCGGATTATCCGCAGCGCCCGTGGATTTAACCGTGATCAAACTACTCCGTTTTGTTCTTTCAGTAGTTTAAATGTTTCTATTTCTTTTTTCCTCTTCAGTCTTATATTGGACAGTACTAAACCTTATGTTACATCAGACTTCTCCATGTTGGAGTTTAAATGCTTCTATTTATTTTGTCCTCTCTCTAGCATTGGACAATGTTAAATGAAACCTAATGAGTTGCATCAAACTACTCCAATAAGTTATTTTAGGAATATTTTTTATTTTTTAAATATTTTTTTTAATTAAATGTTTATTTTGTCCTCCACAGTTTACTATTGGATAATGTTTAAATAAACCTTTTGTTTTGTATTTATTTTTGTCTTATATTAAGTATCCTGATATACATAGTTATGCATAAACCCCATTTTAAAGGCATATTAAAATATATATATAAGGAACTGTATAAGGAATAATTTTTGTGATTATTTATATAACATTATTACATATGTTATAGACGGTTTCAACGGCAAAAACATAAACAAATATTGCTGCGCATGTGCGCTTTTGTGGCCCTAACTTAACTTCCGGTAAATAACTTCCAAATAGAATCAGTAACAACAGCTAAATAGGCCCTCTAGAGTAGATTATTTCTGATAACAAGCAAAATATGTTTGCTGCGTAAATCAGACGGACTTACTGAAAATACAAATTCATTCTCTGCCAGCAGGAGGTGCTTTAAAGTGGGAGAAACAGAGGTTTCCCCGGTACCGGCTGTACACAAAGCAGAGCTCTTTATCAGACATTACATGCAAGATTAAATGAAAATGACATCGAAATTTTTCTAAAGATAGTCTTCCTTCATAAATACAGTGATATAAAAACACCCGCGCCTCGTTTTGATTTTTAAACATGAAGTACATGCTCATGTTTATTCAACAAAGCCTTTTGGAAAATTGGTCAGTTTTGATATTGTGGCAAGCACCACAAATAAATACATGTATGGGAAACACATCCCACAGCACAACCACCTGAGCCCAACTTCAGTCTACTCATCACCTTATCTTTAACTGCGTTTGTAGCCGGAGCCATAGCCAGACTGATAAACAAGCAAAGACCGGAAGTTAACTCAGGGCCAGGCGCGTGCGCCCGATGAAACCATCTGTATAAAGCTTGAAGCATCAGAATCGGCATCGGTATCGGCTGATCCCCATGACAAGAAATCGGTACTCAGTATCGGCTGCAAAAATCTGCTATAACTACTATAACTACTCTGTAGACCTTACCTTCCTACTTCTGACTGAACTGAGGCGTGGTTTTCATATGAGCTTGATAAACCTTTGGACGGATCGATGCAGTGAAGGCGAATCCCGTTGAGTGCAGTGTTATCATCCCAAAAGCCATAGGAAAGTTGTTCCACCTTGAAAAAAACAACACAACACCCTAAATTTAAAAGAGCTACAATCAATCATTGAAAAGTTAACTGTAACCATCCCATAGTAACATTCATCTTTGTGTCCTGTAGTATTAAACAGGTGCAGTTCCCTGGAGATACCTGGAATTAAATGCCTAACAAATAATGATCAGTCACCAGCTCACGTTTAACCACCCCCCCCCCCCCCCCCCCATATTACTGTAATGGATTCAATGCCGGACTTGCCTTTAGACTGAACCCTGCAGCGTACGTTCCATTTGGACAGATGTCCTTAAACCCCCATGATCCCCAATTTGTTCCATAGTACACATTCAGCCACCATCTGTTTTTTCTGTAGATGTCTGGATCAGAATCCATTATGAATGTCTGAATGCTCACATGCAGCCCAAGAATGACTAACAGTAAAGAAATTAAGTGATGCATTGCTGGAGCTCTGGCCTGATCGATAAAAAATACTGATGAAATTAATTCTGTTTGATTTCTACACCAGAAACTGATCCAGGGTCAGTAAAACTGCTCAAAGGTACAATAGTTTCTTCAAATCCAGAACAGAAAACCTGAGCCGACTGCAGTCTGTCCGCAGAATATGCATTTTCATGGCTTATAAATATCATGATATCCTGGTTCTAGCCAATCAGCAGCCAGTAGCGCAGAGTGCACATCAGTGACCTGCATGTGGTTGAAAACACAAAAATACAAA